AAAGCCCTATCTCTGGACAAGTGCAGTGAATTCAGTGCATATTTGAAATGCAAATAAACAGGCCCCAAGGGGACATTTATAGTTCAAGTAGACATCTGTGTCTAAACAGTGTTTCCTGCTTCGCTGGATGTCCAAAACAGAAACACATAAGTTTTATTGAATGATTTGTGGCTTCCTTTGTCCTTTAACCAGTACATCACAGTCTTTGAATTACTGAGGCAGCTACGTAGCTGGTGCCAAAAGAAAGATCTATCTGTTGGTTCAGCTCTGGACGATAGATTCACTGCTGTCACGGACAGAGCAGAGAAACATAAATTTAGGAACATTTCTGCCAGATGCAGCAAAGAACTTTAACTGTCTTAACATAGAAAGAGGTTTTACATAAATAATCTGGTCAATAATCTAGTAAAAATGAACCAAGGAAACAACACATCATGATCAGGACATACAGCTTTTGAAGGGACACAGGGATGTGCAGCCTCATTTATGACCAAAGAAAAACAATGAGGTACCATTTTGGTCTTCCAGATTGGAGATTCCGAGAAGTTTGACACTGCCCCATGCCGTGGAGGATGTAGGGAAACAGACACGCACACCTTTCTGGCAGGGATGTAAGTTGATATGGCTGCTTGTGTTTGTCAATGTCAATCAAAACTGAAAATCACCTACCTGTTTCAGTGATCTTGAGCCTCGTTACAAGCTACCCCAAAACTTAGGGGCTTACAATTTTCTTGCTCTTGGGTCAGAAATTGAGGCAGGGCCAGGTGGGATGGTTCTTCCCGGTCACCTGGTGTGAGCTGGGACTCCCTTCGGGGTGCCTTGGTGCCTAACCTGTCTGATGCTCGAGTCTCTATCTTCATCTCGTGCAGCACTCGGGGCCTCTCTGTAGACAGCTGGCTTGTGTTTCTCACCACATAGTGACCTTAGAGAGGTGGTGCAGAGTAGTTATAGAAGTGCAAAGTCGGAGCCAGGGATACAGCTCAGCAGCACAAGCACAAGGTCCTGAGTTTGATTCCTGGTCAAAAAAAGTAAAAAGTAGGAGCCATCAGTCCAGCTAAGCTCAGACTTATACCAAGTTTACTTTTGCTAGATTCTATCATGAACACAATGACTGCCACACCTGACTGCATATCCAAGGGAAATACACTGCATTTCATAAAAAAGAATACGAGCCAGAAGATGTTTTTATAATTATCTTTGGAAAACACGCCCAATTACTTACAGTTTGATCCGCCAATTCAGTTTTTAGAAATTCTATAACTAGGCTTTTAAAATGTGAGCACAGATATATGACCAGGAGTATTTATTATTTAAAAAAAGATTTATTTTTGAAACAGGGTCTCACTATGTAGTTCAGGCTGGTCTTGAACTCACTGGTAGCTCAAACTGGCCTTGAACTTGTGGCAGTTCTCCTGCCTCAGCCTCCCAAGTGCTGGTGTGCACCATTACAACTGCCTCCTGAAATGTTGATAGTGAGACTAGATTAACCTGAATGTCTATCACTAGAGTCTTGGGTTAAATGATACAATTTATTTATGGCCATAAGATGGGTAGCATTGTGCCCATTTTAAAAATTGATAGCTGTATGTACTGAGATTAAAAGAGCTCCAAGATATACCAAGATAAAAAAAAGGATGCGGAACACCTCTGAAAAGGTACGGGGGGGGGGGTCCTGGGAATTTAGCTCAGCGGCATAAGCACCTGCCTTGGAAGCAGGCAGTCGTGAGTTCGATCCCCAGTACCGATAAAAAGACAAAAAAAAAAAAAAAAAAAAAAAAAAAAAAGAAAAGAAAAGAAAAGAAAAGAAAAGGTACCCGGGAAGGAGACATTTCTATAACCCTTTTTTTTTTCAGTTGGTACTGGGGATCAAACTCAGGACCGCCTGCTGCAAGGCAGGTACTTATGCCGCTGAGCTAAACCCCCAGCCCCTCTATAACCCTTTTTGCAGTATACCCTCAGGAGCCATATCTGAAATTTACATTGGGCTGCTGAGGCTACGGAGAGTGGGAGCCCTGCTGCTGCGTCCCTCCCGTGTTCCTAGTTCTGCTCCAACTGAAGTCCAAATCCTGCTCTCCTGGGATAGCCACATGGGCATCCACACTTGGCAGGTCTGCCCATTTGTCCTGTCTACTTGATAACGTGGCTTTTTTTTATTTATATATTCATTCATTCATTCATCTATTATTTTGGCTTTTTGAGACAGGGTCTCTATGCAGTTCAGGCTGGCCTTGGGTTCAGTTTGTAGCCTAAATTGGTCTCAAATTTACAACGATCGTCCTGCCTCAGCCTCCCTAGTGCTGGGATTACAGGTGTGAGCCACCACACCCAGCGATACTGTGGCTTTAGGAATGAGACATCGTGGTTTAAATTTTCCCTTTATTCCTTATTAACTACTGAATCTTGACAAGATACTCATCTCTCTAAACCTCTGCTTCTCACTTGTGAAATAGGGCCATAATGAGAACTGTTTCTTAGAAATAGCATTTTTTTTTTTTTTTTTTAAAGATCACTAGAGCCCTTGGTGCAGTGCCCCTTACTAAAGAAGGGGCCTTTGTGATTCTAACCACTGTCACTTCACATCAACCAAATTCAACTAAGTGAGGATAGGCACCTGTTACGGTTTAGATATAATGTGTCCTCACAAAGCTTCGATACATTTAGAGGTGAGGTCTGGCTGGAGTAGCTGGGTCACTGGAGGGGTGACCTGTGGGGTATATTCTTTTTTTTTTTTTTTTTGGTCTTTTTGAGACAGGGTTTCACTATGCAGTCCAGGCTGGCCTTGAGCTCACTTTGTAGCCCAGGCTGGTCTTGAGCTCACAACAGTCCTCTTGCCTCAGCCTCCTGAGTGCTGGGATTACAGGCGTGAGCCACCACGCCCAGCTTGTAGACTAGAGTATGTTCTTGTCCTGACTCCTATCTTTTTGCTTGGTCTTCCAGCTGTATGAAATGAGCTGCTTTTTTCTACATACCTTCCGTCCACTTAGCTCTTCCAGACTCTCCCAAGCCTCAGAAAGTACTGGTATTCCAGTTTTGATTTCAGCTAGGTCTCACTGTTTAACTCAGGCTGGCCCCAAGCGCATAGCAATCCTCCTGCCTCCGTCTCCTGAGTGCTGACATTACAAATGTGTGCTATCACAGCCAGCTCTTCTTAAGAGTAAAAAGGATAAATATATGCATGTTTCTGCCCTCTCCGTGCCTCCCTCTGCGTCCTAAACCACTAAGGAAGACTCCAGTTTGCAGCGGTTCCCCCCTTCTCCCTCCCAGGATTCTTCAGGTTCATGAAATGTGGCATGATGGTCCTCCAGCCAGAGGCTGCCAGGAGCACATGTGTAGCTGACCGAAGCAGGCTGACAGCTCAGGGCGGCGGGGAAGACACACGCTCAGGGGGCAACTAAAGAAGGCGTTAGGGAGACTTGTGGGATTTGGGCTTCTGTTAGCAATTTTCAGGACGGTTAAGAGAAGCGGGACTTCACATTGACTGCAGAGGACTGGGTTAGTAAATGTTATCTAGGAAAAACAACTAGAAGCAGTCTACATGCAAAGTAGAGAAGCCGAAAGCTGGGCGTGGTGGCTCATGCCTGTAATCCCAGCACTTGGGAGGCTGAGGCAGGAGGATCGTTGTGAGTTTGAGACCAGCCTGGGCTACAGAGTGAGCTCAAGGCCAGCCTGGGAGACGCTGTCTCAAAAAGCCAGAAAAAAAAAAAAAAAAAAAAAAAAGTAGAGAAGCCGCAGTTACTGTGATTAGCCAGGCTGGGTGTTTGTGCTTCTCACCTGGACAGTGTCTTTCTGATTGTGCCTGCCAGACTCCAGGGCACTCTTGCTCTAGCCGTGACAGGTCGTGGTTACCGAATGACCTTACATGGATGTCCCATGAGATGGTGACGTAGAACAGGGGAACACAAAGATCTGGAGACACCAAAGTCTCACTGGCATTGCCAGGCCAACTTCCAGACCTTGGGAGCAGCTTTTCTCTGTCGGACCAGAAGAGTCCAGGAGAGAGAGAGGGAGGACAGGGTCTGGGTTTTCCAGGGATTGGGGTGGAGATTTGATGTAATATATTAAGAAAAGTAAGGGAAAGAGGTTGGAGCGGGGTAATGAGAATTGTATGCACTGTGTCTCCATCTTGGTGTTCAGTAAGTGTAAGTTTCCAGTGTTTCTTAAGTGCCTGTTTGCTTGCTGGACCGCATCCCTGCTATTGTGACAAGGTCCCGAGATCGCATGGAGGGGGTTCTCGCCTCTGTCTCAGGGTCCAGTCCCAGTAATAGCAGCCTGAGTCTGGATGCAGTTCGAAGGTGCAGGCCCAGGACTGGGAGGGAATTGCGCAGGAGCCAGGCTCAGCTACCCACACAGACCCAGAAGGACAGCTCCTCAGGTCCCCAGGCCCCAGGAGAGGCGGCAGCCGAGGACAACAGCGAGGGCACCTGAGTGCGCAGCCAAGGCCCCTGCCCCGCTCAGGGCAGGACGTTTCTTGGAGGAGCGCGTGTGCCTGGGGTAGTTTGGGAAGGCCAGGGCAGCGGGGACCTGAGCACCCCACAGGAGGAGCCAGTGAAGCTTCTGTGAAGGCCCTGAGCCCCAGCCCCCGGGCCTGCGGGCAGCTGGGGCAAACGCGTCCCCAGGCCCCTACTGGGAGGAATGCAAGGGACAAGAATGGGAGCCAGAAGCCCACAGCACGAGTCCAGGAGTCGGAAGCGCTTTGGAAAGGGCTTGTGCAGGGGGTGCAGAGCTGGCGCCATCTCACCGCCCCTAACCCCGGCGGACCGAAGGGGATGGCGGGGAAGTCCAGTGCGCCCGCCGGCCCGGAGAGGACGGGGATCGGCCTCTGTGCCCAGGAGGAGTGCGGGGCTCGGGGCCCCCATGCCCGCTGGCCTGTGGCCAGGGGCCTGTGCCCGGCGGGGAACACATTGTCCGTCCCTGCCGGCCGGAACACACCGCGGGCTGGCGCTGGAAGGGGCGCGGCTCCGGGCAGCGCCTCTCCGCGCTCCCGCCCCTCGGCCGGCCTTGGCGTCTCCCCTGCGGCCGGCGGCGGCGGTGGCCAGGCCTGGAGGAGGTGGGGTCCGGAGCCCAGCCGGGGCTCTGAGGTCACCGCGCGCCGGAGCGTGTCTCGGATCGGGGTTCAGGTGCGCGGGGAGCGGCGGGGGAGGTGGGGGGCGGGCAGTGCCGCGGGGGGCCCGGCTCGGCGTCCAGTCCGGCGCGCAGTCCAGCGGGGCCCTGCGCAGCCTGCAGACCCCCGGGCGAGGAGACGCGAGCGCCCCTTTGGCGGCCTGCGGGGGGCGCCGTGTTCCTCGGGCGCCGGGCAGCGGGAGGACCCGAGTCCCTCCTGCCCTCCTGGACCTGCCCAAGCGCGGTCCCGGTCTGCGCCCTGAGCGCTCCTCCTCCTCGACGGGAAAGGCCGAGAGCCCGCCGATGCTTGGCCCCTCGCGCGCCCCGGTGACTCTGTTGCCCCCTGCGGTCGCCGGGCTCCGTGTCCGCGACTCCCAGAGCTGGAGGACCTGGTGTGAGCTGAAGGCTGGCCGGGGCAGCCTCTCCAGAAGTGCTGCCTGCACTGCCCGCCGGGCCGTGAGCGGCCTTGGGAGGACTAGGATGAGACCTGGTGCTCCCAGGTGGACCTCGAGGAGGAGGTGGCTGTCCTGCTGGGAGCCCCTGGCTTCTGTCCTCTTGAAGTCATTTCCAAGGCTGAGTTGGAGGACCAACGTGCAGGCTGGGCGTGGTGGGCGTGGAGCCCAGTCAGACCCATCCTGGGGTGCTGGGGGTCAAGAGGCAGCCCGGGGCCCAGGAGCTCAACCCAGAGGGTACCGCTGCCCGGGACTGAGGGAAGACAGTCCATGAGGGGTGACCGGGGACCAGTCCTCTTAGAGAGGTCAGGTGGAGGTGGCTTTTGAGAGAGAAAAGATTTCACTCCTGGTCCTTCCTGGGGTTGAGGCTGGCCGGTCTGCTGAACCGATCTGGTTACCTCCCTTGGATCTGCTTCCATCACCTCTGTATGATCTTAGCCCCTGGCACTGTCTCCACCTCTAACTATAAAATCCTGGGCCTGCTTCTGGCCTGGTCTGTCCTCTGTGAAGCTCTAGATCCAGATGCCAACCGCTGCCACACTTGCCACAGACACGGGAGAAGCACACAGATCCCATGCTGGCTGCGACAGGACTCTTGGCCATTCTCTAACCTGGGCTTCCTCCTTTCCGACTGGCCTCTACCCGCCTGGGCCCCAGCTCTGAGCACTGACCTCACTCTGTCCTCTCCTATTCTTTCGTCCACTGTCCAGGTGATGGGTATACTATGGAACACCCCCTCCCAAGCCCTAGAATAGTGTTTTGCTAGTGGGAACTCGTTCTGCCCTTCCTACTCTGGTGAGGCGTGGGTACATGCCTGAGCACCTCTGGACTTTGGTTCTGCAGCTGGCACAGACTCTGCAGCCTGGCCCACAGGGTGACATTGATAAGGAGGCTGGAGTCCCTAGTACAAGGCTCCCCCCAGCCACAGGTGCTGGCTGGACCACAGGGCCTCCCCTGTAGCCAGACAAGTGTGAAAACTCCTTGCTGTTGAGCCGAGGCCCCCAGACATACACCAGAGCAGCTGGCTCTGCACAGGGGACAGTGTGACCGTCCTGCACAGACATCCAGTGTAAGAGCATCCTTAGGACAGGCTAGTGCTGATAAGAAAATCGATCTGTGTGCACATTCTGGGGGCCCATTTAGGCTGTTTTTATTTGGCAAATTCAGACTATTTAATTAACACAGTAACTTACAAACAAGATAGATGTTCAAGGCCTCTTTGGAGGGTGTCTCTATCTGACCACGCCTACCCGTTGAGAGGCCATCGTGGGCAGGCATAAAGTGGCATGAGCCAGGCAGTGATCTGAGTTTAGAACTAGGGAGAGAGAGAGAGAGAGAGCTACTGTCTGAGAGCCAGCTGGACTTCTCGGAGGAGGTGACTGTCCTAGGAGCTGCCACTTAACTTTTTTCTGCTGAAGTTCAGAAGATGGTAACTTTGCAGAAGCCCACCCCACCCCCGCCAAGGTTGCATGTGAAGTCCATCCTGCAGGGCTGGGCTTAGTGGGTGTGAGGTGCCCCCGCAGGTGCAGGATGTCTGCTTCAGGTCTGAGGCCCTGGGAATGTCATCAGCACTGCTTCTCCCTATTAAGGAACACTACTTCTGACAAGTAACCCTGCCCTGATCAACAATCAGTAGCAGACTGGGCCTCCAGGAGGTGGAGGGAGGGTGACTCGCAATTCTAAATCGCCTCTGGGGGCTCAAGTGAGCCAGTGTTTTGGCCCCTGTCACAGCTTCAGGCCACCTACTCGGCACTCCCCACCAAGTTCAAGAAAGTCAAGTCCCCCCATAGCACACTGGGAGCCCCAGTTGCCCAGGCCTCAGAGCCACCCTAACCCTGACCTGGGCCTGCCTGCTCAGCATGTCCCCTTGCCTCGCTCTTGCACTGGGGAGGTATCAGTTTCCAGCCAGTGCTGCTATGCCTGCTTGGCCTATTTACTAATAATGCATGAGCAACCTGGTCAGTGTCCATGGTGGCAAGTTCCTTTCCTGTTCTGTCTCCTTCCTCAGAAAAGACCAATATACCCAGGCCACCCCAAACCTAATCTCTGCAAGTCTGTTCCTTCCCTTGCCATTAACAAATATTTATTTAACATCGATTGACTGCATGCCAGGCACTGTGCCGGGCACCGAGTAACAAGGGCAGAGCTCGCCCTCAGGAAGCTCGGGGTGGGAATGGGAAGAGGGAAGAATGGGCCAGCAAATAGTGGCAGTGCAGGGTGTTGCATGATGTGGTGGCAAAAGCACTGTGTGGAGCCGAAGAGGTCAGGAGATCACCCCGCTGAGTCCTATAGGAGGAGCAAAGGAAGCCAGGGGCAGAGGGCCTGAGGTTACCTGGTCATTCCCAGAAGCAAGGCAGAGTTTTAGAAGTAAGGAGTGCATTATTCAGTACCCTGCCTACAGTTTGTGGGGAGTATGCAGCAGTTGGGGAAGAGGTATGGTATACTGGCTTTCTGCAAGGTTGGCCCCTAGGAAATCGATTTTGGCTGTGGTGATCCTGGTGGCATGCCCATCTCCCAGCCAGGGCTCTGCCACTTGCCAGCTGTGTGCCCCTGGGGCAAATCATTTCTCCCTTGGAACTGGAGACCTTGGGGTCCTCATCTGTGGAAGGCAGATAGCTGTGTGGGGATCCGAATGAATTATATTTATTCATTTATTTATTTATTCTTTAATCCTGGGAATTGAACTCGGGACCTTGCACTTACCTGGCAGGCGCTTGTGCTGCTGAGCTATATCCCTAGGCCCCAGATCAATATTTATATGACACCTTTAGGACATTAACAGAAGGAAGGAGAGAGGTTATGAAGCTGCCCCTGACCCCTGCCCGGTCCCCACCCCATCTCAGCTCCTCTGTGATCTGAGAACATTCTGGGTCCTTGTCCATCAGGGAAGGATCCCACGGAGGAGACAAGAGTGGCCAGGAAACAGCTCGGGTGCGTGGGGCTGGAGCATGGGGCTAACCGAACTCCCGATGGAGGCACCCTGCAGGGAGTGGGCTGGCTGCAGACCCCTTGCTCCAAGAGCTGAGGCCCTCAGACTCTGCCTGCGCCCTGGGACTGATCCCACTGCCCTTGCCCTCTCTGACGCCCAGGTTACTCTGTCAACACAGGGAAGGGGAGGATCGGCTGACCAGGTGGGGACAGCTAAGCCGGTCCGCAGACTGAGCTAACCGCCTTGTGTTTCCCCCAGGACCTGCGGAGCCCACCACCTCCATCCTCACCGCTATGGAGGCCCCGGGCCCTGAGGGCGAGCGCGCCTCCCCGCCCGCCTCCCCGGGAAGCCTGCACCTGCGCCGGCGGTCCACGGGCGCCGACTCGGCCTACGGCTCATTCTCCGCGGCCTCCGGGGGCCCGGAGTGGTGCACGCCGTCGCCTGACACGGACGCCCTGTCGCCCCTGGACTGGGACTGGCCGCACGCGGCCCGGGGCGGCCCGGGCCCCTCTCCACCCGCCGCGGCCCCCGGCTCGGCCCAGCGGCCCCGGCCAGCAGTCGCTGCGCTCCGGGGACCCCCAGGGCAGCTCAGCAGACAGGCCACCCCGCTGCTCTACGCGCTGGCCGCCGAGGCCGAGGCCGAGGCCGGGGCGCGGGCCGCCGAGCCCCCCAGCCCGCCGGCCTCGCGGGCCGCCTACCGCCAGCGGCTGCAGGGCGCGCAGCGCAGGGTGCTCCGGGAGACGTCCTTCCAGCGCAGGGAGCTCCGCATGAGCCTGCCCTCCCGCCTGCGGCCCGCCGCCCCGGTGCGGCCGCCCGCCGAGCACCCGCGCTCCGCCTCGCTCAGCCACCCGGGCCGGGACTGCCGGGCGCCCGCGCCAGCACCCGCCGGCCGGGGGCGCCTCGCCAGCCAGCAGCAGACGTGGTGCTTCTCGGAGTCGGGGAAGCTGGATCGCGTGGGGCAGGGCGGTGGGCCGGCCGGGGAGGCCTTGGGTGGGCCCTGCACCGGCCCGGGGCTCGCCAGGCTGGAGCCCCAGGAACTGCCGCGCCAGGCCGGGGCCGCGTTCGGAGGGCTGCAGGAGATCCAGGCCCAAAGCTCGGCGCAGCTGGACTCGGGGCCCGAGAAGCTCGGCGATGCACTGAGGCCTGGCTGTCGGCGTCAGAGTGCTTCGGGCAAGGTGTCAGGGCCCCGGAGAGCGCCGGGAGCGGCCACGGCCACCGTCCAGGTAGGAAGAGAGGTCGCAGGCTGGAGAAGCAGGGGAGCGTGGAGGCAGCCGCGTTTCATTTGCCTTGGCTTTTCCAGGCCGTTCCCCAAGGAGCAGAAACACCTGGACCGTTGCTTCAGACATTTTCCAGGTGAGAAACATGGGCCCTTCAGAGGACGAAGGGGTGGGGAGGCAGCTTTCCCAGCTCTTGGTCAAGAAAGCAGACCAGGGCTGGGTGTGGAGGCGCATACCTGTAATCCCAGCGCTTTTGGGAGGCTGAGACAGGAGGACTGTTAGGAGTTCCAGACCTGCCTGGGCTACACAGTGAGCTCAAGGTGACCCTGACCTGCATAGGGAGACCCTGTCTCAGACAAAAAAAAAAAAAAAAAAAAAAAAAAGAGGGGGCCCTCCACTGCCCTCAGCTTTTTGCAAATTGCATAGCCTCCTGTTTTCCTGATGTGGTGCCAGGACACCCCACTCTTTGATGTCAGTGTGGGGTCCCCACTTCCAGGTTCTTGGAGCCTACAGCAATGTGTCCCGAAGAAGCCCCTCAGTACAGCCCCTCAGACTGTGAACAGAGGGTCGCAGAGACCCAGGTGGAGCTCTCCCGGCTGCCCTCCCTTCCTGACGATGATGTGTTTCTGGAAGGACCTCCGCCAGACAGGATGAGCTGGCCTCCCGACTCCTGCACCCCTGTAGGAGCCTCAACCAGGTAATTCTCCCTGGTTCCTAAGGACAGTGAGGCACCCCCTCCCAGGTGCGCCTGCTCTAGAAGGGGCCTGGATGCAGGGGGTGGGTACGGAAATGGGGGTGTGTAGGGGGTGGGCAGGGCAGGCTGCCCTGCAAGGCCTCTGCTTGTCTGTGGCCAGAGCCTTTTCTGATTCACTGTCTTCTTCTGCTTCCAGTGTCCATGCCTCTGACCAGAATTCTGAAACTGACTTGGGCCGAAGAGCTGGCCAGGCTATGGCCCCACCAGAATGTCCCCTCCATGGGTATCCTGGGACCTCAGGGGCAGATGACTACTGGCAAGGGGTGAATGGTTCTGTGGGTGTCTCCAAGGCCACAAGCTATAGCCCTCCTGGGACTGCAAATGGTGACCTCCCAACCACTGACTCTGCTGGACTGCTGACCCCTGACACCCCTGTAGCTGCAGAAAATGACCCTCTCAAGCCTCCCCCAGATGATGCCCTGTGTTCTTCAAGCAATGGTACCTCAGGGCCCCCTCACCATGCTTCCTTGGCCTGGGGCACTGGCCAGCTGGGTTCCAGACCAATGTGGACCAGCCAGCGTCTGGAGGAGCTAGTTCGGGAGCTGGCCAGACTGGATCCCTCCCTGAGCGACACTCTTGTCTCTGAGCCCAGCCCAGCGCTGCCCCTGGGCCTGCTGGATGGGCTGATCCCTGGGACAGAGGTCTGGGCCTCCATCGGGGAGACTGGAAAGGAGGCAGCAGGGTCTTCTGAGCCAGGGTAAGCAAGCACAGCAGGGGCCAGGGTTCTACAGCTCTGCAGGCCTGGGCAGGGCAACCCAAGGAGCTCTGGCTTTGTCCTCAGGTCCTCTCAGTTCAGCTTCCCCCAGCTGCTGCCTGCTTCTCAGCAGGAGACAAGGCCAGAAAATGCTACCCTCCCACCTGTGCTCAGCGAGCCATGCAGCCAGGGCCCCTCAGCCTCCAACATCAGTATCCAGGCCAAGAAAGTGAGTGCGGAGGGGCTGGTAGTGTGTCGGAGGCTGGGTAGAGAGGGCAGGCCGGCTTGAGTACTAGCCCGTACCCTTTGCAGGTGGAGCTAGCCAGCCTCCTCCAAAAGATGCTGCAGGACCTTCAGGCCAAGCAGGAGCAGCTGCAAGGGGTAGCTCAAGCATGGGCCCTACGCAGGGCAGCTCTGGAGGCTGCAGTGGGCCAGTGCTGTGGGCCCCGGGAACTGGAACGGTTCAGCCGGTTCATGGCGGACCTGGAACGTGTGCTTGGCCTCCTGCTGCTGCTGGGCAGTCGGCTGGCCCGCGTGCACCGCGCGTTGGCCCGGGTGGGCTCAGACGGCGACCCTGATGAGCGGGTAAAAGGGGTTCGCGCTGGGGGTGGTGGAGAGCCGGTCAGGGAGGGGATGCGGGCCGCGGGCTGTGAGCTGGGGCTGGGGATGGCCCCGTCCCGGGAGCCGCGCGCTCATGGCGCCCTCTCCTGGCGGCTCCAGGCCTCTCTGCTGCAGCGACTGGGCCTTCTGCAGCGACAGCAGGAGGACGCCAAGGAGCTGAAGGAGCACGTGTCGCGGCGTGAGCGGGCCCTGCGCGAGGTGCTGGCGCGGGCACTGCCGGCGGAGGACGTGCGCTCCTACTGCACCCTGCTGGCTGACAAGGCCGCCATCCTGGCCCAGCAGCGCAGCCTGGACGAACGTGTCCGGCTCCTGCAGGACCAACTGGACGTGGTCAGGAGCGACCTGAGCCATCGGCCTCTTTCTCCCAGTCCATCCTGGCTCCCAAGAACCTGTCCTCCGGATAAACAGCCCTTCCCACCTCCCCCTACTTAGTTCCAGTCGGCAGGGCGGGGAGCCCTGCCTTGCACACCTGAAGTGACGCTGGTTTACCGGAGCAGGGAGGACTCAGGCCCACAGCCCTCCCTGGAGAATTGCTCCCACCATTACATGCGGCCTTTCCCATGTCTTGCAGGTTATCTGGGAGTTACTTAAAACTTGCAGTGTGACCCACTTTCATGAGGAGAGAGGGTTTCTGTAAGGGTTGGTGGGAGGCGAGAGGTCAGAGGAACACTTCACTGTAAAGTGCAAGTCAGCCTTTATTTTTTTGCAATAAAAATTTCCTAAGAGATGTGGGTGTGTGTGTGTTTGTGGGTGTGTGTGTGTGGGTGCGTGTGTGTAGTATGTCCTGTGCACATAAGAGGAAAGAGGGAAGGAGTCTTTTTACAAACTGCCCACCAGTTCAGGGCAGAAGAGGGATGTGGCAGATGATCAGTCAGGTCTGGCAACCTATAGAAGATTGTGGAACCAAGCTGGCAAACAGCAGGGACCACCAACTCCACCACCACCACCACCACCAGTAATCCACAGTACCAGCCCTCCTGACTGCATCACTACCACAAAGCCTGGGTCTGACCCACTGGGTCCAGGTCTCTTCAGCTGGTTTGCACCAAAGCCTTAGTTTTGGTAGCAGAAATATTGCCTCCTATAATCCCAGCTACTCAGAAGGCTGAGGCAGGAGGATCTCAAGTTAAAGGCCTACCTTTAGTGAGAGCCTGCCTCAAACATTTAAAGAGTGATATTGGAGGGTGTAACTTAGTAGTGGGGCAGGTAGAACACCTATCCCCGAGTTTGACCCCCAATGCTACAAAAAAGACACAAACAAGGGCTGGGGATTTAGCTCAGCAGCATAAGTACCTGCCTTGCAAGCAGGCGGTCGTGAGTTCAATCCCCGGTACCAATAAAAATGAAAAAGACAAAAAAAAAAAAAAAAAAAGACGCAAACAAAAAGGACACACAGCACACCCAGCTCTCTGCCTAGCCAGGAAGGCAGCTGAGGGTGGAAGCCAGGAGATCCCCTACATGGGCCCAAAGGGCCTGGACAGGCCGCTTCCCTTGTCCCTGCAAGGCTGCTCCTAGCATGGAAGGGGGTGGTGTGAAACACAGGACAAACTCCATTTGTGCACCTCCAGTGATCCAGGATCAGGTTCGAGGATAATGTTGTGCAAATCTGCTTCAGTAAGGTAGTAGCTGCAAACAGCAGGACAAGGACCTTGTTCTGCTAAGGTTCAGAGTATTTTTGGAAGTCAGGCAGCTTAAAAGGCTTGTGGCTGTGTATTTAAGGCCAACTGACCCCTAAGTGAGAAATTTCTGCTTCTGGGCTTGTTTTGTGATGTGTATTGTCTCCGAGTGCATGGGGTTGGCAATTTTAAATGGTCGTATTCATACCAAGAGCATTAGTTACAACAGTCGCGCTATTGAGCGCAGAACAATGCTTTCACTGTGTCTTTTTATAAAAAACATATGGGGTTCCTGGGGAGGCCATTGCGGGTTCTAACATTATGCTTCGCTGTCCTTTGAACACTGTGGGCGGGGCTTCGGTTCTGGGGGCCTCAGGCCGGCCAGCTCGCTTCGAAGCGCGCTCTCAATGCAAGCTGCTAATTTCTGCCTTCTGCCCCGTGCAGTCCCCCCTTGTATTCGCCCATTATGTATTCTTAAGAAACACACTGAACGCGTCTATTAAACCAACAGAAAACGTGTATTTCAAACAAAAGCCCTCCCAGCCTGGCTTGAACAGGCAGCGCTTGGGGGTGGGGAAAGGGTGTCTGCCTTCTTCCGGTTATACTGCACTTTGGTTTTTGTACTTTTTCTTTGCAGAAGTAAATATGAGGGCTTTGTGCTCGACCCTGCCAGGCTCAAAAAGGAGGAGCAGGCTTCGCGCGCCGGCTCTTCCGTCTGGCCTGTTCTTTGCCGACCGGTTCTCTTCCTGCCACACTGTTATTCCTTCAGAAGGCAAGAATGAGCTCACGCAGATGTTTTTTACTGGAGCTCACCGCAGATGTTCTTTATTGGCACTAAGGGCCTCAAGACCTGAAACCGGGAGAACGGACGCTGCGCGAGGCCGCCAGCAGGGGGCGCCGTTCTGTTTCGGGTGAGCGCGTGCGCAGGCCCCCCACCCCCGGCCGGCTCACCCTCGCGGTTGGGGCCTGAGCCGTGTCCTGCGGGCCCTGGAGGTTTGGCCTGCCGGCTGCAGCTGAGCCTTTTACTTCGGTCCGGCAGCCTCGGGGGGAAAGGCTGGCGCGCTGGCCTTTGCCACGAGGCCCGCGTTGGAAAACGCGGAGGAGGGCGCAGGAGCGTGGCGAAGAGGCCGGCCTCGTTTCCCGGCGGGGAAAGAGGGTGACGCGACTCCGTGCTGGGCCTCCTGACCCGTCCCTTAGTCACTGCGCTCTGGTGTCCTCGTTGCACCCCCTCCCCGCGACCCCCGACTGCGGCCACTGCCGCCGCGCCTTCCGGCGTTGGGGAGGTCTGGCGTCGCCTGGACTTGTTGCCAGGCAACAAGCCGCCCGCGGCCGCCTCCCCCGCTCGCCTCATCCGGCCCCCGCCGCTCCTCTGCGGGCGGATTTAATGAGCGTGCTCGTCTACCTTCAGCTGCGACTTGGACACGGCGTGGGAGGCAGCGTCCGTCCCACCCACGCCGCGCGCGTGCTCCTGCTTCTCCTGTTGCGTCGGGGCGCACCGCCCGCGCCCTGGGGTCCCTGGGGAGCAAATTGCGGCGCTGTCCATTCAGAGGCAAATGAGAGGCTGTAGAGAAAACTTAGGTCGAAAGTAGCCGAGGATCGCGCAGAGAGGTGCCAGGGAAATGCGGGGGTGGGGATGGGGGTGCGGGGGGGCGGAGGCCAGAGGAGAGCTTGCTGTAAAGAAATCCTCTCCAGACCTGCGCGACAACATTACTGTCACCAGTGGCCACAGCTGAGGGTCACTACGGATGTTCATCGCTTGTCTTTGGTATTTAAATCAGCTCGTCTTGTCCACTAGGGGACTTTTTTTTTCTCTGAGAGAAGCCTGGGTGTTTATGTGGGGTTTCTCCAACCCTGGCCCATAGGCACACCTTGGGTCACCCCTTCTTCATAGGTTCAAGTCCGGAGATGTAGCAGTTCAAGGCAAAAAGCCATCTGGAAAGCCGCGAACGATATATGAACACGTTGTTTATTTTTACTTTGTCTTTTTGAGACAGGGTCTCACTCTGCAGCTCGGGCCGGCCTTGAATTCATATTGTGAGCCCAGGCAGGCTTTGAACTTTCAACATTCTCCTGCCTCAGCCTCCTACGTGCTGGGATTACAGGCGTGCACCACCACGCCCGGCTCTGAACACATTTTCAAGAGTCAGAGAGTTTCTTCCAGGAAGAGGTAGAGGGGAAGGGGGAGGAAGAAGCAAAAGAAGAGAAAGAAAGGTAGACCATGGGCCCTAGGTGGGCACAGCATGATAACTGTGTGCTGAGGACTGGTTTCAGCCCTTGGGAATAAAGAGCAGCAATTTAGGTCTAAAAGATTGGGTATGGGTGCTGGAGAGATAGAGGTTAAGAAAAACATTGTTATTTCTGTTTTAATTAATGCAATATCACATACAGAACATAGGGTAATTTCCCTCTTGTGGGAATACATTTTTCCCAGCACGTATGCAAATACCAATGTGGTAAGAGGGTGCAGATCAGGTTAAGCAAATCCGCATCACCGTCCCCTGTGGTTGTGGAACTCAGCTCAGCACCCAGGGATTTCTTAGGTGGGCCTTGCAGTTCAGGAAGAGCCTGATCCTCCTTCCTAATAGCCCAGGGGTGGGTTCTCCTACTGTGTCCCACAGAGGAGGGAGAGCTCTGGTCGCTAAATCAGTAAAGGGCTGAGCACAGTGGAAAAGATGCCTTCCCAGTGCTGACACTAGCTGTGAGGCCCAGACAGAGGACTCACAACTCCACCAGGTGTTAAAATCAAGATCCTAAGAGTATGGACCTTGGTTGGTAACTGCAAAGTGTTTAAAATTCCACCGGGACTTAATTAGCACGAAAGAATATATAGATAGATCGCCCATGCCATGAAGCCCCATTAGGTGTCTTGCTGAGTAATAGCCCCACCTTCCATTAAAAGAAATGTAACAATTAAAAAGTTTGCTGAGGCTCATACTCATCTGCATCAACAATTAACCTCTCATTAAAAGGGAGTTGTTCTCCCTGTGACAGTTACCACCTAGATTGCCTTAATACTGTTTTCAGGTGTTGAGAATACCTTCAGCGGTTATGCTTATGGCAGTTGTTTTCTTAAACATATGGTTCTTGAAAACTTTCCATATGGATATCCAACTCTAATTTCCTACTTATAACCTTAGCTTTAGGCATCTAGGTCCTCAATTCTTGTTTCCCTTGGAGACTTGCAGGAGATCCTCAGGACCAGACCCTTCTGGCGGTTTGAATAAGCATCTTTTGATGTAAAGATGCAGTAAATGTTAGTTACTATTAAACTGTCTTTCTCAAGGCAGGTCTTAGCTATGTCTGTGAACTTTCTTCCCCTGTATCCATCAGGCCTTTCTCTTATTATAGAAAATCTTCAATATTTCATTCTGTCTTCTAGAGCTTCAGCTACTCAAATTTCGGTAATTACTGCCTCCCACAGTTTTTCTGCACAGGCAGAAGACAATTTGCATTTTGAAAATCATTTATGCAAACTAGCTAGAGTCCTAGGCAAGGAAGATAGGAAGGGTCAGATGTTGGCTTACATTTACTAAGTAGTTCTTGGGTACCATATCTGTGTGTGGCTGATGCTTATTTGTAGAGAAATCCAAACTCTCTAACAGAATGCGTGAAAGAATCAGGAGCGAAAAGGAAGAATTAAGTAGATTTAAAAAATGAAAGTAGACAATGTTTAAGGGAAGTACATCTGACTTGCAGAAACAAAATGGAGGACTGTTTATTTCATTTTTAAATCAAAACATTCCATAAGTGATTGCTGTATAATTTCAGAGGCCTCACTGATACATAGTTGGGGGACTAGGAAAGCCCCACTGTCCTGTACCATAACAACCATTTCATAGCTAATCACATGCAAACATAATTTGCAAAAGCAGAATAATATCACATGAAAAAGTTGGTTGAGCACATAGATCTCATTTTTATTTGTTTTTGTTTTTAGAGACAGAATATCACTATGAAGTTCAGACTGGCCTTTAACTCTCTTTATATTCCAGGCTGGCCTGGAACTCACAGTGATCCTCCTGCCTCAGCCTCCCCAAGTGCTGCTATTACAGGCATGTGCCACTGTGGCCAGTACCATCTTTAAAACAAAAAGTGCCATCATAACTGGATTGTGCCAAACCCGGGACATCTTGGCAATATCTACAAGCCTTCTCAATTCTTCAGACAGGCACATCCAAGGTCTCTTAACAAAAGCACTTCATTTGCTATTTTAGAATAAGTTGTTTGTTTTAAAAAATGTATTACCATGCACTTCTTGTTTGTTCAGAATTTTTCTATACAAGAGTTCTGTCATCGTATCAAGTACTGTTTCATCACTTTTCTGATGTAATGCTATGACTTTTTTTCTTTGAATATTCACCCATTGTATTGAATAGCTTAGCTAAATATAAAAATCAAAGACTCAGAAACGTGACACAAAGGTGCGATTCACAAATCACAATTTTAAAAAGTTATATATTCATGCTATATCAAAATAGCCACCCAACAGTGCCAAACACACTTATGCTTCACCATGGCTTAAAAGTATTTGCCAAAATATCTCTGCTCTGTTTAACCACTTTTACTCCCAAGATGCACTTCTTCCTGACAGCGTTCACAGCACACTAGAAATTAGTTACAGTCTTGAGGGTCACACTGATTGTCCTGTGTTCAGGACGCTCCGGGAGCCTGACTGCCTAAAATGAGGTAGATAAACTTTTTAAAAAGTTTTGTTGTTGGGGATAATTTTTAAGTTTTTTTTGAGACAGGGTCTCACTATGCAGTTCAGTCTTGAGCTTACTTTGTAGCCCAGGCTGGTCTCGAACTCGCAAAGAATCTCCTGCCTCAGCCTCCCCAGTGCTGGGATGCCAGGCGTGCACCATCAGGCCCAGCACAGATCTTAGAATTCTAAAATACTTAGCAAAAGGTGGAAAATGTCTGAGCATTTTGCCTATAAATGGAAAAATATAATTTTAAAAGGCTATGAAAGTGGCTTTACCTCATTTCCATTTAAAAACAGAATAAAAGGATCAAATTACAAAACTACCGTGTATCTTGGAAGCTGAGGACCCAATAGAAATATTGCAAAAACCCTTGCCGCAGTCCAAGCCTGGGACCATATAGGTGAAGAGGCTTCTAGTTAAGCATTCAGGGGCCAGACCAGCTGCTGCCCCTTAACCTTTGACCTTAAATTTCAAGCCCTGTCTGTCCATCTCAGCTTTAAGACTGATACAAGGATTCTCCACAGAAACCTCACTGAGACCTAGAATCCCGGGTCTGGAGGCAGATCCGGGTTCAGAGGAGCAGGCCTACCGGGGAAAAGGCTGCAGAGAAGCAAGCTGGACATAAAGATGGGGCCGCAGGTGCTGGGCCCCAGAACCGAGCTGGCTTAGAGCACACCAGGCAGGCCTGTTAGCAAAAGAGGCCATCACCCCAAAGTCCTTCAGGTTGCAGGGGGCAGACTGGGCACTAAACCAGCTAAAGGCCCGGAAGTGGATCGACGCGCGCTTTCTCCGAAGGCTGGCAGGCCACCTCGGACCTTGGCCTTTTTACGGGGAGCCATCGGCGAGGCGCCCAAGAGCTTGCTGAAGGAGCTCGACTTCTTCAAGCCGCGAGCCAGGTCCTGGAGCATCAGATCATCGGCCAGGACCCCCAGGAACGCGCTGGTGGTGGAGCCGAGGATGGTGGCGGCCACCTGGACCGGGTGCCGGGCCGCAAGGCTACCGCTGGCACCGCTGGTCGCATCTGGCTCCGTGACGCCTCGAAGGCCTGGATCGCCAAGAAGGCGGCGCAGCGCATAAGAGGAGCCGGGCCGCAGGTACTGGTAGGCGCGACGGCCACTGTGGTCACGGACGTGCACCTGGGCCCCCAGGCGCACAACCAGCAGCACCGCGGCGTCCTCGTGGCCGTGCAGCGCGGCCAGGTGCAGCGGCGTGTAGCCGCCGTGCGAGCGCGCGTTCACGTCCACCGGCGCGCCCCCACGCCGCGCCACCTCCACCAGCTGCAGGGCCATCTCGCGGTCGCCGCTCTTGGCGGCCCAGTGCAGAGCAGTGAAGCCAGACATGAAGTCGCGCTTGGCTGCCAGGCCGCGGTCGCGCAGCAGCAGTCCGTGCAGCTGGTGGGACCACCGGCCGCTGGCCGTGCGCACCAGCCACTCGTGCTCGGCGGGCTCCAGGGGCACGGTGGGTGGCGGCGGCGCGGCGGGCGCGTCCTCGGCGGCGTCGGGGCTCAGCAGGCGCGGGCCGGCGCGCGACAGGCGCCTCAGGTGCGGGGAGCGGCCGGCGCCCAGGCCGGGGCCGAGCCCCAGCCCCAGCCCCAGGCCGGACTCCTCCACGGACAGCCGCCTCCGGAACATCGGGGGGCTTCCGGGGCTCGGTTCCTCCGACAGCTGCCGGCGCAGGCCCTGCTCCTCGGCGCGGACCCGCAGCGCCGCGGGCACCGGCACGCAGCGCACCGGCAGCATGCAGGGCTTGGGCGGTGGCCCAGGCTCCCGTTCCGGGGCCTGTGGCGCCGCAGCCTCCGACAGCGCGCCGGACTGGTGGGCCGCGTCTCCCGGGGGCCCTCCCGAGGGCTGGGCGGGTGCAAGGGCCGGAGCCCCAGCCGCAGAGGCCCGCGCCCCCGAGGTGTCCGGTGGCCCCGAAGGCGGGGCCGGCTCTTCCTCGGGCGCCACCTGCCGCTGCGCCGAGGTGGACGAGGGTGCGGTTCCCGGGGCCCGGTGCTCCCCCGGGGGAATGGACTCGGCCTTCGACGGCGGGGCTGGAGCCCCGGGGAGGCCGGGCAGGCGCGGCGCCGGGTCCTCGGCGCGCGGAGGCTTGGTGCGCAGCACCACGAACTTGACGCCGTCGAGCTCCTGCACCACGGCCACGTCGCGGATGAACTGCCGGAAGCGGTCCCTGCGGGCGGCACGGCCGCGCGGGTCGCCGGCGTCCAGCAGCGGCTTGAAGCGGCCGAGCAGCTCGGAGTCGCGCACCTTCCCGCCGCGCTCCTGCAGGAAGCCCAGCACGGCCGCCTGGCTCACCCCGGCGGCCGCGGCGGCTGCGGCTGCGGCTGCGGCCAGCGCCATGCTCGCTCCTTGCCGCCGGCTCGGCTCGGCTCGGCTGGGCCTGGCTCGGCCCGCCTGGCTCAGGGGTCCGCGAGGACGTCCGCCCGGCCGAGCTCACCTGGGGAACCCCGAAACTGGACCTCGGTCGAGCCCGCGCCGCGCAGCCACGATGGAGCCGGACAGGGCCAGGCCGCTGGCTCGCTGCTCTGTCCAATGGGCGCCGGGCGCCATCCCCGTGCGCTGTGCCCGCCGTGCAGGTGACAGCAGCCGCCGCAGGCGCCAGGGGGAGAGGGGAGCGGAAACTCCCCACCGCCCCCCACCCCGATCCGGAATTAAAGGCGCAGTGCAGCGCCGCGCCTGGCTCGCTCGCTTCGCCGTTGCTAGGTGGGTGTGTTCCCTAGGGATGCAGCGGTGAGGCACGGGGGTGTTTTTCCTTGCGCAGTATCTTACTACCACAAAAGAAAACCGGTAATTTTTTTTTTAAGACCACCAATATCCAGTTTTTAAAAAAATTCCACTTCCTACAGGAGAACAGCTTCACGCAATTGACAGCAAAAAAAACCAGTTCTCTCCGTGTGGCAGTGTACACGTTTTAAAACTTACCTTTCAAAGAACAGGTGCTCTTAAAAGCAATTTCCTCGTGGTAAAATAAGGTTTTCACTAGATTTTTGGGACTAAACCATCAGAAAAACATAAAGAAGGAAAAATCACTTGAAATCACCGTTAAAATTTTGAATATTCTCCCCCCACCACGTGCTTATGCAAACATATTTATTCTTTAAAAAAAAAAAAAAAACGCAAAGTTGGAATCACTTGTGGTGCTGGGGATCAAGTCCAGGGCCTCCCACATGTTAGGCAAGCGCTCTACCCCAGTTCCTTAAAATTCACTCATTCTGAGAGTATTTATTGAGCGCCTGAATTGCGCCAAGATTTTTTCAGGCCCTGAGGCCTGTTAGCAAGAGTCCCAGTGGAGCTCCTAATTGGTGGAGAGCAGAAGTAATGAAGTGAATCTGAAACCTGCGCAATACGCTAAATATACTTTGGAAAACAGCGTGGTAAAGCAGGATGGTGGGACGAGTCCTGGGGGGGGGGGCAGTGAAGGCTTGAGAACAGGACGTTTGGTAGAGGACACTGGAGCTGTCTCTGTGGAAGGAACGGCCAGGACCGGGGTGGGATCTGTTTCTGGATTTGTAAACAGCGCTGTACTTTAAACATCTAAGAATGCATAGCTGGGCAGCGCGCTGTAATGCAGAGCACAGGACTCTGCTGGACTCCACTTGGGAATCCTGCTCTGTCTGAACAGAGTCGCGTGACCACTGGGAGCTCAGCTTTTCCTGTCTGAAAAGGGTAGAGTACACACACACACACACACACACACACACACACACAAGTAGTGCCAGTAACCCTCAGAACAATATCTGACTGTAATTTTTCAAATTATCATTAATATAGCTATGCTATTGCTACCTTGGAAAAGAAAGAGAACAGTGAGGCATAAAGGCCTCCCCCATCTCCAAATCCAGGTCCTCTGAGGCAGAGTTGGTCTCCAGGGTGGCGTGAAATGTAAAGTGTCCCCTTGCTTTATATTAGGAGCACCTCCCCCAGGGACTCTAGCTGTTCTTCAGAATCACTGGACGAGATTTGAGGGCCGAGGGTGGGGCCCAGCATGCTAAGCCCCTGGGTTCAGTCTCCTGCACCCAAACATTTATGTAGCATTACATTTGTCTTATTCCTGGTTGTATATATTTCCAGTCTTCAGTTCTTCCAAATCCTGCTCCTCCTAGCTTGTTTTTTCCTTCATCCTGGGGGTGGAACCCAGAGAGTGTTAAGCTATATCCCCAACCATCTTTGTAATTTTATTTTGTTTTCTATTTTGTAAACACTTTCATTGATGCTGTGTGTTGTGTGTATGTGCGCACGCACGCATGTGTGTATCTTTTTGAGTCAGGATCTCACTCGGCAGTTCAGGCTGGCCTTGAGCTCACTTTGTAGCCTAGGCTGATCTCCAGCTCGTAGTAACTCTCCTGCCTCAGCCTCCTGCGTGCTGAGATTACAAGTGTGAACCACCATACCCAGCTTTGTTACATTTTGGATACACATAATGATTACATTCATCAAGGGTATTTGTGCCTGTGCAAGATATATTCTGCTCCTTTTTTTCCCATTCCCCTCCCCTCTCTTCAACCCTCTTCTCCTCTTTAGTGACAAAAGCTTTATTTCTATTTTTCTTCTTTTTTTTCGTGTCCCTTGATTACATTCCCCCTTCGTTCTCCCTGGTTCCCCTTCTCATCTTAATATTTTCTCTCTCTCTCTCTCTCTCTCTCTCTCTCTCTCTCTCTCTCTTTGGTACTGGGGATTGAACTTTCAACCTTGTGTTTGCCAGGCAAGTGCTTATGCCACTGAGCTAAATCCCCAGCCCTCATCGGAATATTTTCTTCCCATATCCATTATGCATATATTTTTTTTGGTACCAGGAATCGAACTCAGGACCTTGCACTTGCCAGGCAGGTGCTGTGCTCCATTATACATTTTGATCTTTGTTTACACTTTCCATTTCTTACATCAGAGAAATGCGCTATTTACACATGTCCAGTTTATCTTCAGAGTGTAGTCTCGAGGTGCCTGTATTTACTAGAAATGTCCCAGGCTTATTCTTCTTTATGGCTGAGTAGTATTCCATTGTATAAAAAAAACCTTTATCCATTCATAAGTTGATAGGATTTGGGATGTTTCCACAATTCAGCTATTACAGACTGTGCTGCTATAAACATGGCTGTGTATATATCACTGTGGTATGATGTTTTTAATTCTTTTGGAAAGATAACACAAAGGGGAATGGAACCTCTAGTTTTAGTTTTTTGAGGAATCGCCACACTGATTCCCACAGTGGCTGCACCAGTCTGCACTCCCACCAACAGTGGAGAAGGCTTCCTTTTCCCCACAGCCCCCCCAGCATTTGTTATTGGTTGATCTCCTTTCCCCCACCTTTTTTTATTTTGAAAATAGTAAAATACAACAGAACAAGACAGAATAAAGCCAACTAAGATCGTACAGTGAAATTGGTACAGAACTTCACAGCAGGTTCCTGGGATAACAGTAATAGGTATCATGGTATATTTTGTTATCATTACAATAGTTGTTCTTTCAATCACATATATCAAAATAAAATGAAATACAGAACATTATAGAGTTTATCAAAACAGAATATTGAATAGAGCAGTACCATTAATCAGAAAAGAGCAAAACAGTAATAAAAATATATGCCTTCAAAGAGATGGTCGAAGGAAATCCCCCTTATTTGCTATGGTCAACCTCCCAAGAAATGCTCAGATTACTGGTTCCCATTTGCTAACAGGGGGATACAGGAGAAGGGGGCAGGGGAAGTGGGATGTTTGACTCTAGGCCATGTAGCAGTAGGTTCACTATTGCTTAGCAGGGAGGCAGGCTGGTTGCTTGGTTTCCCAGGGTTCCAACATGGTGTGGATCTCAGAAGACACCGGTGGTCTCCCCCTGGAAGGGTTGCAGTCTGCCACCCCACAGCTGCTTACCAGGGAGGGGAGCTGCTTGCTTGGTTTCCCAGCATCCTAAGTTCCCACTGGTTGATCTCCTGATGACAGCCATTCATTTCTGAGGTGAAATCTCAGCAAATTGTTTTAATTTGTATCTCAAATGACCAGTGATATTGAACATTTTTCATATATTTATTTGACACTTGTTATTTCTTCATCTGCGAAGTGTCTGTTCATTTCAGATGTCTATTTTTGGGTTGGGTCTTTAAAGGGATCTGATTTTTTTTCTGGTTCTTTCTGTATTCCAGGTAGTCATCCTTTGAAGTACAATTGGCAAAAATTTTTCCCCACACTATGGGTTGTCTCTTCATTCTGTTGATTTCTTTTGCTGTGTGAAATCTTTTTAAATAAACTCTTTGTGATACTTCCTGTGTGATGGGATTTTGCTCATAAAGCTCTTGCCTACCCTTCGTCTTCAAGAATTCCACCTATTCTATCTTCCAGCAGATTTACTGTTTGTATCTTAATATTTAGACCTTTGATCTGTTTCGATTTTAATTGAGTGCTTGGTGAAAGATAAACTTCTAGGTTTAATCTTTGGGACGTAGGAAGCCAGTTTTGCCATCATGCAATTTTATTTTAACACAGGGTCTCCATAAGGTTTCCAGGCTAGACTTGAATTTGGGATCCTCCTGCCTCAGTCTCCCAGAGTGCCAGGTTTGTGGGTGTGAGTCACCACTCCTGAGTTAGACAACTTTTTTTTCTCTTGTAAAAATTGTATCTACACAGCTATTTAATTATAAATTTTTGCTTAATGATGTAAATGCAAAATAAGGTATGTCTCCCATTGGAAGTAGAACTTTTAGGATCCATACACCCTGTAGTATTAAGCAGTCAACATGGGGTGATAAAAATACCTTAGACCAAGGGCCTACCTGCAGTGCGTGCTGTGGTGCTGGATTGAACCCGGGGACTGGCGTGTGCAGGAGGCCAGCTCTGCCCCCCCCACCTTTGTTTTTAACATGAAATGATGCTGGAGTCAGCTCGCCTTCCTAACTGCTCCCCTCCTTCAGCCCCACCCGCGTGCATCCTCCAACAACGGCCCCACGTGTGTCACACTGTGTGTCTCATCTCTGCTTTACTGCAGAGTCTTGCCCGTATCTTTGACTGCAGGGCACTGAGCCAGGTACACTGCCAGGACATAATCTTCTTGTCGTGGCGTAGAGAGGCGCATGTGATGGCCAGTGTCACCCAGCTCTGTGAAATGGGTGCTACAAGTGCTCAGAGGGTTGGGGCGGCAGCGGGGGCACCTCAAGAGGCAGCTGCGAAGTCAGGACAGGAGAAGGATTGGGAGTGGGATTGTGAAGGCTGAATTCAGGACACTGTATGCTGCAGTTAAGAGTGTATCAGGGTTACAGAAGAGTAATCTAGGCCTGGGTGGGATGTTAAATGCTGGTTTGGACTTTATCCTCTTTGCAATAGAATGAATGCCCTTGGAAGCTTGCTTCCTTTTTCTTTCATTTCTTTCTTTTCTTTTCTTTTCTTTCTGACAGGGTCTCACTATGTAGTCCAGGCTGACTTCAAACTTTGAGGATCCTCCTGCCTCAGCCTCTCCTGTGCTTGGGTTACAGGTGTTCCCCACCACACC